TTTTATCCCGCCACCCCCGCCAAGACAACCAATCGCCGATATAAGGAAATTCCAGAAGACCACAATTTTGAATCATTAGATTAAACGGAATAAAAGAAGACGCGTGTCTTAATTTACCCCCTCGCTTTTCATGATTTCCAGTTAATTCGTTAAAATCACCAATTAAAAACCACGGAGAATCCCGAGATAAACCTGTTCTAGTTAACCGCTCCCACACTTGTTCCCGCTTACTAGGAACCGGGTCTCCATAAACAAAAGTGAGATAAATTACTTTGCCCTTGTAGTTTGCTTCAATATCGATCACACGATTACTTGCAAATAAAACCGAAACATGATAATCATTATTAAAAAAAAGGGCTAAACCGCCACTACAACCAATAGGATCCACCGTTTTTAAATTTTTATAACCAAAGTGACCTACAAATTTTTCCATAAAAGAAGAGGATTGTTTAGTTTCCGACAGAAATAAAAAATCCGGCCTATGTTGCTTCCACAAATCCCGAAGATACCCAATTGTTGCCTTATTTCCTAACCCTTGACAATTCCAACTTAAAACTTTCATTTATTATCAACCTTTCGATTAAGTGGGTTGCGTCCACCTGTTAATCCCTTCACCGTGCCATGGTGCGTCGGGTTATGCCCTTCATTCCCTTGATTATTTCTTAGAGAAACCAAATTACAATTGACCATTGATATTCTTACCCTTAAAGTATCCACATCCAACCATGAAAAACCAGAAATCAAACTGTTGTAAAAACGTTTGTTACAACCAATGAAACTCCACTCCATACACTCCAAATCCAAAATCAACCGACCCACATCATAACTTTTAGAAATATTCCGACCAGCCACAATAGCCCATGGAAGAGTACTCAAAGCCCTCCTTCTCCTATCACCGGAAAACCATCTGTTAAAAACTCCTTCACCTGACCTTCTCTCCTCAATCGTTTTCAACCGAAAACCTCTGTGATCCGCAGTCCAAGACCAAACTGCAACTGAAACAATCTCAAATTCCAATAACAACACCTCCCAATCCACAATATATATTCCACCGAAGCTCAAACCCAAAAACTCAAACCCCAAATACAACCAGAAAAAAAACCATAATCGAAGCAAATTCCGACCACCATCAATAACCATCATGTCCAAACGATACATTCCTTTTATTAATATTTCAATAACACAGATAATATAGCTTACATATAGGATCTGAGAATTGAAACCAACATAAAAAGCTAAAATAAAGACCGAGAGAAGATTATTAACCATGTTGCTCATGATGTCTCCGTGGGATCCTTGACTAACCATGGAGCTTTGAGGCATCACTTCCACCAAAACAATAAGAAGCCAGAAAAATATAAACCCAAGAAAAAGATACAACCAATAAAACCCAAGAATTATGAAAGACAAGACTAAAAATAATTCGTTGATGCTTTGAATTGCTGAAAGTGAGATGAGGTGAGCAATACCACCAGGCTGTGACACTGATTTATATACACCCATCTTCAAATCTATATCTCCTTCAAAGTAAATCATGGAACCGCAAAAATCAATCACTATTATGACCATTAAACCCCACCGTGAAATCTTAGCTCTTCTAGCCTTTATCAGATTGTAAAGAAACCTTGATAAGGCCTCTAGAATCTCTCTCCGCTCGCTTACTCTTTGTACTTCCTCTGAATTTCCCTCATCAATTGACCAAAACTCACCCAATGAAATTACAACCGGAATTAATTTCTCCAGCCGTGAACCTTTTCCCTTTTGCACCACGATCGCTACCGATATAAACCTTTCCAGATCTGAAAGATTGAGCCCATTTAAAACCAAGTGACACACCTGAGATCTCCGAGAGATATCAATCTCCAAAATAAGATGAAAAAACATCTCAGATCCGAGAAGAAACGAAAACCATCGCCGCCATACTTTTTCCCTTAGGGTTTGAGAGAGATTCGACAAGAGAAACCCCATCCTCTTAAACCCCGCAGGTGAGAATCCTTCTTCTTTCCTCGTGATAACCAATATCAAATCGCCATTGAAGACATACAAATTGAACCCAGATCTTCTGGAACCTACCTTTAGATTAGGACTTGATCTCTTCACCGAATCCACCACCAACCGTAGTAACCCAAAACTGAAACAATGCCTAGAATGCCACTATACAGGAACAAAAAGGCTAGAAAGCCACCCAATTTTTTAGAATAATAAAAATAAAAGAATTTAAATCAAATAAATACAAAAGGACCAAAAACCCTTACCCTAATTTGATAATTACGTATCCCTGCCACTCACTCCTCTTCTTCTTTCACGCTTCTTCTTTTTTCACTCCTCTTCTTCTTTCACGCTTCTTCTTCTTCTTCTTCTTCTTCTTTCATTTTTTCTAGATTTTTTTTTGGATCTTTCACTTTATATCTCTTCTTCTCCATCATCATCATCATCAATGAAACTTTAGATCTATCTTCTCCATAGATCTCTCTTTGCGTTTCTTCATAGATTGAATCTTTCTTCATGTTTCTTCTCCATGGATTTCTTAGATTCACTAATCATGGATCTCTCTTCATGTTTCTTCTCCATGGATATCTCCCCGTGCTTTCGTCCTTTGAAATGCGCAATCGTTTGGTGAGAAAAACGGTTCACAAACTTCGATAAAGAAGGTTGACGGCGGATAATCGGCGACGACGACGATGAAGAAAGCAAGAAGAGGCGAATTAGTAAGTGTGACGGCGCTAGGGTTTAGAATTACAATTGCTTCGTTTCAGTTGTACCTACTTATTTGTACCAGTTGTACCTAACTATTTGTACCATTGTACCTAACTATTTGTACCAGTTGTACCTATTTATATGTCAGTTATACCAATTGTATCAATTTTACTATTATCTTTTAGTAATACCATTTGTACCAGTTGTCCAATTATCTCACAGTTATACTATTTGTATCAGTTTTCATATTATCTCTTAATTGTACCAGTTGTACTATTATCTCTTAGTTGTACCAATCGTCTCTTATTTCATTAAGGATAATTTGGGAATATCACATTTACAGTGGCATTCAGATCACAAAATGGCATGCCGGATTCATTTTCTCCAATTAGTGGCAAACCAGCCTCGGACTCCCCAAAACTGAACCCAAAATCAACCCAAACTTGTCTACTCATTGTTGGATTTTAAAATCCTAGAGTCTCCTTTGACATTGCCATCGACGTCGCACGAGAGAGCCTCGTTTTTTTTTCTTTTCGAAGTTTTTTAAGAATATACTAAAAATGAATGTTTGATTAAGACAAATTTCTTTTCTTCCTTTACTTTTATATTCTATTTTCAATACAAAATATAAAATTTAGTCTTAAAACAAATATTTTCTTATAAAATATTTTGTATTTCTTATCCAAAATAAATAAAACATAAAACTTTAAACAATGAAAATCATATATTCCTTTGCTATTTATAAGATTTTAGCATATAGTTTAAATTTATGATTTTAAACAAATCTAATTATACATTATTTAAATAAAATTTTTTAATAATTAATAATATAAATTATCTATGCAATCAAAATATTCCCATAAACACTTACCACACATAAATCTATGCTATATATTACTTGGCCTGGAATTAAAACACAAATTCAACTCTACCACTATATTTCAAATCAAAAATATATACTCAATACTAGAATAAAATTTTCAATCAAAAACTATACAAATAGATAAAAATATTTCGCATATACTAACAAAGCATAAGACCTGGCGAAACACGGGTTATCAATCTAGTTGCAATATAATCGTCATATCTCACCCACATTTTTGTATAGCACTCTTGAATCAACAAAATATTTGTTTTGTCTTCACGCTTGTCTTAATTGAATCAACAAACAAAAGGTTTTATCTCTATATATATTCAAGATTTCCAAAACCTTTGTTAAAAATCGGATAATAATTTAAAAACTCAAAAAAGAAGAAAATCAATTCGTTTAACTTTAACATGACCCACAAACGGCGACAAAACAGCCGATATTATATTAAATCAATTTTTTCATCGGCTTCTCCTCACCGTGTCAGTGACGGTTTTCAATGGTTTCGCTAGCGAAGTGGGTCGTTTCTTTCCCTTTCCCTCTCAGGTGGTTATCGAAACACGAGGTATTTCCGTACAGCTACAAAGAACAGAAGATCTAGAAATAAGATCATCGCAATAATGGACCACCTGGGTATTTATCGAAGAGGAAACACTCAAAATGCAGAGGTAGATACTAACTACTTCAACGACCTCTTTGTGTCTTCTCCTATGTCTGTAGATAGCAATCAAGATGTTTTTCAAGGCTTTCAAAGCTCTGACATCAACAATGACTTAACAAAACTAGTCATTGTGGAAGAGATTAATGCTTCAATTTTCTCCATTGGTCCTCACAAAGCTTCTGGTCTTGATGGATTTACCGCTAATTTCTATCAACATTTCTGAGAAGACATTAATCCTGCAATCATCACAGAAGTCCAAGAATTTTTTTGAGAAAAAACCTTTTGGATGCGAAGCATAACCATACAAACCTTTGCTTTATCCCCAAGATCGAAGATCCTTCAACAATTGCAGACTTTCGGCCAATCGCTTTTTGTAATGCCAGCTACAAGATTATTTCAAAGACCATAGTCAACAGATTAAACCAAAGAATACAAAAATATTATCTCGGATGTTTGACCAAAAAAAGAATACAAAAATATTACTTTTGAAAGAAATTAAAAACATTATTTTATTTTTTATTTTATGTTTTGAACAAAAAATATAAAAACATTAATAAGAAGAAAAAGCCAAAGGAGAAAAGTGGACTTTCCTATTGCCCATCTGTCTCCGTCTTCATCATCAAGCAAAAACTCATCTTTCTCCACTCACTCTCTTTCATCTACAGAGTTAATAATAATCATTAAGCGAAGAAGAACCCTAGAAATATTCATCAGAGAAGTCGCAGCTGAATCACTTTTTTGGGAAACCTAGATTTGACGGGTATCTTTCTTTCTTTTTTGGATTTGGATCAATTCTCTTGATTTTCTACCTTTTTAGAGCTTCTTGATTCGTTTCCTTATGACCCAATTTTGCTTTCTGTACTTTGGTTGCAAAAATCTTACTCGATTTTGTTTCTATGCCCATTTGAGGATCTTCGTTGAAGACGCGATTCTAAGTGGTTTTAGCGTTAATTCGAGTAGATTTCTCATCTGGGTAATGTATCTGATTTGAAATTCTTAGTTTTCATAGTAAAATTTTGATCTTTTTTTTTTTTTTGCTTTCGATTTCGATAGTAGTTGACTCTCGCCGACCTTATCTGACGGCAAAAAGTTTGTCAACTTTTTGTATTCTTTTTTTCCCAAAAGTCTGGGGTTTAGATACCGGCTTTGTGTCTATTCGATTCGATTTAGAGTTGGTTAATGGTAGGACCGAACCGTACCCGATCCGACCCGCCCTCAAAGACCGAGAAAATTGCGTCTTCCTTGAACAACAAAAGTTGAAGCTTTATTGCAAGTTGCAGGTCTCTAAAACCCTAACCTTAATCTCTGTCTTGTTCGAATTTAGAGCAGTATCAAGAATCAGAGTTCCATTGAAATTGTTTGAATAAAACTCCATGGATGATACACAAGTCAAAGCTCTGGAGGAGAAGCTGAAGAGTCAGCTTGGCCAGCTTGAACTCGAGCAAGCGGTGTTCGAGAGAATGGTCTACAAGAATAAGAACCAGCATCGGAGATGCTCTTATTTTCAATACCTTCTCAAGGTATCTATCTATCTACATTCTTCTTCTTCTGGTAGATTGTGTTAAAAATAGACAACTTTGAGACAAACTTGTATTTGATTGAATTCAATTTTTAGCAAATCGTTTTTTTTTTATTGGTCAGGTGAGAAGGGACTTGAGACTTTTAAGAACAGCAAACATGGAGAGTATGTTGAGACCTTGCTTTCATGTTATTTCTGGGAGAATAAGTAAACAGAAGATTCATGTTTTGGAGAGGTATGCTTCTCTTTCTTTTGTTGATTTTACTGATTTATGAGAATGTTGTAGGAGCTAAGTTGGTTTGTTTTTGGGGTTTATGCAGCTTGAAGTTGAAAAAATCTGATACTGGGAAACCAAATATCTTGGAACGACTTCTTGGAGCTCTTCATTTACTCTCACAGGTATGCGTAATCGAGCTTTGATCATACATATGAACAAGATCCTTGGTGTTCTGACTGATCATTATGTTTGTTGCAGATGACTGAACCCATCTTGAAGGCAGCTAGGTATTTGATTGATTCGTGAATTGAATTGTTTGTTTAATGTCTTAGAGCTAATCTTGTTCGGTGGGTAATTTTGTTCTACAGTGGGATATCCACTCTACTAGCTCGTTCATTTTTCATAGGATTTTCTGTGACATTTTTGGCCCTGCTTGCACGCCTCCGAGTGTTGATTCAACAAGTAAGTTAACTTTGTTTGTGATGAAATTAAAATAAAAGAACATTGTGGGAAGTTTCTTCAATCCATGATTTAATAGATTACACACTGTGATTGATCTTATTGTAATCGTAGTCTGCATAATGTGGTTAATTTTCGAATCGTTTTTGTTTCGCGTAGATATTACTTGATGCTGTTTCAGTTTTCAATTCGGTAACATCTACATCACTGAAGAAACAGTCTGTCAAGATAGCACAGGACGGGGTTGAGGTTGGTCAAAGATCTTTGGTGTAGAAACAGTATCCTCACCTCTCTGAAATTATCTCGGATGAACATGCTGCTTTCATTCTGGGCCTTTTGATAACTGATAATGTCATCATGGCTCAAGAAGCCAAGAAACGACAGTCAAATTCCTACATGGCGCTAAAAACATACATAATGAAAGCTTATGATCGTCTTGAATGGAAGTTTTTAGAAGAAACAATGAGACAAATGAGATTTGCTGAGAAGTAGATCGGGTGGATAATGAACTCTGTCACGTCTGTAAGTTTTACTGTCCTGATTAATGGCATAGCTCATGGCCACATCCAACCACAACGGACAGGGAGACTCGCTCTCTCTTTATTTTTTTATTCTCTATACCGAAATGCAACAAGTAGCCTAACGTCTACAACTTCAAGCCAAGCGTCTACAACTTCAAGGAGTTAAAATAAGTAACAAAATTCCCGCAGTTGCCCACCTTCCTTTTGCTGACGATTCCCTATCTTTCATGTTAGCAAATGAAAAATCATGTAAAGCCATTAAAGACATTCTCTCAAAATATGAAGCAATTTCAGAAAAAGTTGTGAACCTAAGAAAATTGGCAATTACGTTTGGAAAGAGAGTCAGACATGAAGTGAAACGTAAGATGCGTCACATTCTTGGCATATGGTGAAGGAGGTGGGAACAAATACCTTGGCTTTCCAGCACAATTTGATAAAAAGAAGTCAGACTTGTTTCAGTATATACTTGAAAAAGTCAAGGGGAAGACACAAAGTTGGAATAAGAAATTTCTATCGCAGGGAAGAAAAGAGTGGTGCTTAAATCAGTGGCCCTAGAAATGCATATCTACTCGATGAATGTCTATAAAATTCCATGTGAGGAAATTAATGGCGTTCTTAACCGATATTATTGGAGTAAAGGGGACAATGCAAAAGGAATGCATTGGTTTGCCTGGGCTAGATTAAGTTTACCGAAAAAAGAAGGAGGGCTTGGATTTCGAGAATTGGAAAGCTTCAACGTGGCACTGCTCGGAAAGCAGAGCTGGCGAATTCTTCAACATCCCCATTGTTTGATGGCAAGAGTCCTAAAAGGCAAGTACTTCCCCATTGTTTGGTGGAGTAAAGGGGACGACGCAAAATGAATGCATTGGTTTGCATGGGATAGATTAAGTTTGCCGAAAAGAGAAAGAGGACTTAGATTTCGAGAATTGGAAAGCTTCAATATGGCACTGCTCGGAAAGCAGAGCTGGCGAATTCTTCAACATCCACATTGTTTCATGGCAAGAGTCCTAAAAAGGCAAGTACTTCCCTGATACAAACATTCTTAATGTAAAACAAGGAACGAAAGCCTCTTTCATCTGGAAATCAATCCTCCAAGGTAGAAACTTTCTCAAACAAGGGATGTGTTATGTAATCGGAAATGGTACAATGGTAAATACTTGGCTAGACCCTTGGCTTCCTTAGCATCCTCCTATGCCTCCCAGAAATGAATTAGAGAGAACTCAAAACTATATGGTTAGTTACCTTATTAATGCTTTCGGCACAGATTGGGGTGTAGAGAAGATAAGAGATCGGGTCCACTCAGATGCTATTACCAAAATTTTGGCTTTGAAAATTAGTCCAAATGCTAATGGTGATTTCCTTGGTTGGCACTACTCTAAAGATGGCATGTACACTGTCAAATCTGTATAATGGTTGGCTACTCACATAAACAAAGAGAATTCTACACTACTACCCCTAGGAGACGTCGAACTTAAAAGAAAAATGTGGAAAATTCAAAGTGCTCCAAAGATCAAACACTTTCTCCGGAGATTACTTTTCAGGCACTAGATACAGGTGAGGCCTTAAAGTTTCGCCATATCAGTCGATTATCATCCTACCGACGATGTTGTAGCGCAAAAGAAACCAGAAAGCACTTGTTATTTGATAGTGAGTATGCATGGTCGATTTGCTGAGCTTCGGGCATCCTAAATCAGACTCTATTTGATACGGTCTCCTCTCTTGAAGAAAAAATGCAAGCAATCCTTATCAATTTATCATTAAGAACATGCCCACTTACGTCAGCTTCCTCTTTGGATCCCCTGGAAAATCTGGAAGAGTAGAACCATATTATGTTTTCCAACGCAAGCACATCCCCTGGGGAACATCTCTAAACCTTGCAAGGGCAGATGCCAAACAATGGACCGAAGCTGAAACTCTACTGACTCCTCCTACCCAGCAAACTACAAATCACGCAATGACCGACAATAACTGGTGGATTCACCAGAACCAAGTTGGATTAAGTGATGCTTCTTTTGTTAATGGTGACTTTCCTTCAAAAACTGGATGGGTTCTGCGAGACAATGACATGTTCTATGTTGGCGTAGGGCAAGCTATTGGTAAAACCACATCAAACGTTTTCGAGGAAAAGTTCGAGGCGCTTATTATTGCGATGCAACATTGCTAGTCTAAGGAATACCGACAATTTTACTTTGAAAGTGATAATAAGAAATTGATTGACATGATAAAGGAGATAAAACGGAACTTTGGTGCCTTCAATTGGTTAAAAGAAGTTCAAAATTGGGGAAAGAAGTTCGATGACACTCAATTCAATTGGACGAAGAGAAGCTGCAACACACCTACTGATATTCTCGCAAAGAATAATCTTCCTCGGAATTCTACTTTTCTATATCATTTTCAGATTCCTTATGTAATCATACCCTTGTTAAAAAACGTGGCCGATTTCGAGGCAAGGGATCGCCAAAATTATGATAAAATTGGCTCAAAAATCGGAAATCTTGAAAAAACTTGATTTTGTTTGTTCTTTTGAAGGTTAAAATTCATAAATACTTGATGGATGTAGCATATCTAGCAATAAACAATAGAAGACAACAAAAAGAAATGATGAAAAGTGAACACCATTTGACTCCGCCTTCTCCACCGGAGTTCGACTCCACTAAGTCGCGTTACCCCGCGTAGTAGGGATTGGCTATGGATCGGGCCTTGTCGATCCAAAGATGTCAAAAAAAAAAAAAAAAAAACCAAGTGACGGCATATTTAGGGTTACAGATCTCGTTTTTGAGAGGTATAAGACAATGGTATGTTGGTGATTTATTATCATTAAACCTAAAATAAATAAAATAGGCATAAATGTAGTTAGAACTGCTCGAACTCGCCACCTGAAAGCAAGGAAACACGCTTATAACCATCAGACCTTTTCGCATTATAATTTTTTCCACAATGATGATATGTATACAAAATATAAGTAAAAAAATATAAAAACCTAGTTTCTGATTAATTTTTGTTTAATCTTCAATTTTTGGTCTAGCCGTTAAATCCAACTCGAACGTCCGACTAATGTCTAGCGATTTTTTTAACAAAAAATTATACTAGTGCTTTGCATCGTGATCATTCTTGTTGTCTATAAATCGTTATAGAGAATGAGAAAAAAAAAAGTTCTAGTAATTTATCAAATCTGTTGAATATACTTAATTAATTATCCATCTTCTAGAAACAAATATTTTAATATTTTCATTCTAACCGACTCTCACCTCCTATATATATGTGTGAGATCGTTCAATGTTGGGATTACAAAGAAAGAAAGTGAAATAAGAAAAGAAAATAAAGAAAGAGAGTTATACCTAGCCCTGAGACGTATTATCCGGGATCCGAGATCCGATCCGGGATCTGCCCTTATCTGCTCCGAAAAAATAGGATATCTGGTGGGCCGGATCCGGATCCGGATAACGAAATTACGGATCCGGCCGGATCCGGATCCGGATATTAGATATAACTAAAATCGGATATCCGGGATCCAGCCCAGACCTAGTTATACCCTCTCTCCCACTCACGATAGTTATACCCTCTCTCCCACTCACGTCTATCTCCCTCATTTTTCAATATCAAATATCCATATATATATACTACACAATTATAGAATAATATATATCAATTTAAATTAATAATTCTCAATACGTTATCAGCACGAATAAGCTTCCGTTTCTGAAAACATCCGAATCTCTACCCGATCACATATTTAAGGTAGTGTGAAGGTAATATTTTTAAATTATGTTTAAATTTATTTTAAATTTGTTTATTCATAATATTTAAGGAATGGAAGGTTATACCTCCTCCTTGATCCCATGGAAGGCTATGCCTCCTAAAAAGGATCATGATCATATGGTAGGCTCTGCCTCCTCAGATCATTATTTTATAACTACATATCCTGAAAATATTTATTAAAAGTTTCTGAAGAACTATATAAAATAAAATATATGAAACAAAAAAGTCCAGAAGATATATGAAAATGTTCCAGAAAAACTATATATTAAATTTTGTCCAGAAGACAAATTATAACTACTGTTCTTTTAATTTCGTAATTATATGATATTCTAATTCATGTTATATTTATAAATTTCATTATGATATCTAAATTGTTAAAAAAATTATTTTTTTAACTATCTGATTATATAAATTTACGATTGATTTTCTGTTTATTTTTTTTTTCAACGGTCACAAAGAAAATCTGACAATTTCCAACGGCTAGGAACAGTGATTTTTCAATCTATAAATACACTCATATTTTCATTCATTTCATTCACTCATTCATCATATCTCTCTAAATATTCTTTAAAAAAAAAGAAAATAGCTAATTCTTTCTTAGTTTTTGTAATAGGTTTTATTTTTGTTGCTATTTATGGTTTAATTTTTGGAGAATTTTCTCCTGAAGAGTTTTTAATGGTTTCTATTTTATTTTTCTATGTAATTGTGTTTCTTGTAATCGCTTTACTTATGTAAGATTCTTCTATATTTTAAGAATAAATAAAATAAAATTTCTAATATTAATGTTATTCGGAACCGCTTGCATATTTAATGATTTTAAATAATACTACCATGCTCCAGTGCCACCCGGCATGACAGATTTGGGCGCTTTCACAGATTCCCACGAGTATGGGTTTTTTTCCCACAGAATCTATTTTTGCGAACTTGGATCATTTATTTTGGAGAATACCTTCGGAATTTGATTGCTCAGTTTTTCCATGGATTATATGGTATATTTGGAAAGTAAGGAATGAGAAAATATTTGAAAATATAGACAATGATCCACTAGAGGTATTACGGTTAGCGGAAAAAGAGGATGGATCATGGAAAGGAAGTGATAAGTTCTCCGGTACAGGATGGTTCTGTACATCATCAAGTGGAGAACCGCCAACCATGGGAGCTGCCAACCTCCGTAGAAGTCTATCTCCCCTACATACACAAACCGAGGCCCTTCTCTGGGCAATGAAGTGCATGATTGGTGCAGATAATCAAGAGGTAGCGTTCTTTACAAACTGTTCTGACCTGGTGAAGATGGTGTCTTCTCCAACCGAATGGCCGGCGTTTTCAGTGTATTTGGAGGAATTTCAGAGTGACAAGGAAGAATTCTCTACCTTTTCTTTTTCT